TTGAAATGTGCCAATTGTAGAGCCATCCATTGTAAGCCTCACGTATAAATCCAACTGCGTAAGAACGTGTTTACATGTGTTTTGAAATATATAATAATGAATTTAGAGTACGATGCTAAGAAAAGAGCACTGCAAAAGGAACGAATTGTCATAAAAGTAGCAAAGTGGTATTTTGACTCCCATACCAAACACTAAAGGCCACTATGGCTTAGCAAAAATGAAAACAATAAAACGTTTTTGGAAACTGTTGCAGAGCACCAGAAAGATATGAAAATGAGAGCATTTTTGGAAATAATGGGCCTTTAGTGTCAAGCATGAAGATAAAAAATTGGCATTCTGATGCTTAGACTTCAAGATTAACAAATCTGGCAAAAGTTTGACTCGTTCGCATTTTAATATGAGTTGTCAAAGCAGAAAATATCTGATTTTTAATGACTGGATCGAAAATCTCGCATTTATTTAGTTATGTTATGCTTGATATTATACTTATGTTTTAAAATTTATTTGGTTGTCATTTGATAATTTATTCGTTCTTCAACCTGACAAGATTCTAAAAGTTTGTACGAGTACATGTATATTTTCAAAAAATAGTTTCCACTTTTGATATATTTCACCATAAATATATTTACTATTAAGAAATATTTATCAAATAAAATGCGTATTTTCATTTCCCGTATTTTCACTGCATCTTTTTATATGCCCGAAATAATTTCGGGCATATTATGTTATATCCCCTGGCGTCCGACCGTCTGTCCGTCCGTCCGTCTGTCTGTCCGTCCGTTATCAACTTGGTTTCCGGAGCATAACTTAAGTTCAATTGGGCCCACAATATTCAAACTTCATAGGATGATTGTCCATATTGGGTGTACGACCCCTATTGATTTTGGGGTCACAAGGCCAAAGGCCAAGATCACAATTACCTTAAAACTGAAAACAGTTTCCAGGACATAACTTAAGTTCCATTTGGCCCACAGTGTTCAAACTTCATAGGATTATTGTCCATATTAGGTAAAAGTTTTGATTTTGGGGTTACAAGGTCTAAGGTCAAGGTCACTATTACCTTTAATCTGAAACAGTTTCCGGAGCATAACTTAAGTTCCATATGGCCCATAGTGATCAAACTTCATAGTATGATTTACCATATAAGGTAAAAGACTCCTATTGATTTTGGGGGTCACAAGGTCAAAGGTTAAGGTCACAATTACCTTAAAACTGAAAACAGTTTCCAGAACATAACTTAAGTTCCATTTGGCCCACAGTGATCAAACTTCATAGGATTATTGTCCATACTGGGTGAAAGACTCCTATTGATTTTAAGGTCATAAGGTCAAAGGTTATGGTCACAATTACCTTAAAACTGAAAACAGTTTGTGGAACATAACTTAAGTTCAATTTGGCCCACAGTTTTCAAACGTCATAGAATTATTGTCCATATTGGGTAGAAGACCCCTATTGATTTTGGGGTTACAAGGTCAAAGGTCAAGGTCATTATTACTTTAAAACTGGAAACAGTTTCCAGAACATAACTTAAGTTCCATTTGGCCCACAGTGATCAAACATCATAGGATGATTGTCCATATTTGGGAGAACACCCATATTGATTTTGGGATCACAAGTTCAAAGTTCAAGGTCACTATTACCTTAAAACTCTTAAAACTTAAAACAGTTTCCGGAGCATAACTTAACTTCCATCTGACTCATAATATTCTAACTTCATAGGAGGATTGCTATTTGAAGGAGTTAATACTTAATTTAATTCTCATGTCTTACAAATGATTCATCCTTACTGAAAAACACACTTTCGGGCATATAATGCTACGCCTAGCGTAGCTCTTTTTCACTACTGTAACAGTGAATTTTATCTTCCGTATTTTCACTGGTGTCTTACCGGACTACTTACTACGTAATTTAATAAATACAAAAACTACAGGATAGGTTTTAATAATTTTCAGGCTATAAAAAAAGAGAAAAAGTATATTATAATCAGAAAAATACTTTTTTCAAGAAATACAGGATTTATTCTCAGACTCCTCGACCAATATGACATATTGTGATTACCTACCAGCCAAACAGACATGTGAAGACGCCAAACAGGCATGTTAGAGTTACACTTACAGCCTAGAAGTGTTCAAGGCAAGAATTTTATACTTAGTTGGCCCTACCTTGCAATAAAGTTAACTGTGAAGATTTTACTAACCTGTCCAACTCAGACACCAACAAAGAGTTAATTACATTTCATTAATTCGATTTGTTATAATAAACATTTCTATCACACGAGATTACAAACTCACTGATTCGAAATCTATCTTATATTTATGAGCTTCAGCCTAAGGTTTCGAAAGCAAAAATTGTTTACCATTGCAATCTAGGTCAACTAGTCTACCAGACTTCACATTAAAGCGCTACCATAAAAAGGTTGACATGTTTTAAAGATGCCGGCCTGCACTTTCCTCTAACGACCATGGCCAGACTCATGGCGTTCTTTAGGGATCTTTATTTCTCCATAAGTGCCACAATAGTGTTAAATGTGCCATGAAATGGTCGTATATATAATCAAACAATTATATTTTCGATCCTTGAAGTTAGTTCGACACAGCATAATTCATATGTGTACATGTTTGTGGTAATATTAAGTTAATTATATTTGACTTTTTCACCTTGAAATGTTCCATTATCCCTACTTCAATATCATTTAATCACCCTTAGGATATGGTGCCTGCTTTTTACATTTATCTTTTGATGACTTATTCATGATATACCTAATCTCTGATTTTTTTTTCAAAATTTTATTTAGTTTTTTTCCGACCATTATTTCTCGTTTAGGACACACGCTTTCTTTTCTAGGGGATAATAGACCGTTATTCATGGAATGGCACGAAAGCTACATGGTAACCGCCGTACAGGCTTAAGGGTAATGACACTCGTAATGGTAATGCAGAAAAAAATGCATTACTTTTCTTGAGAGTAATGTAATGATACTGCATGTCAATTTGCATTACTTGTAAAGGTACTTGAATGCAAAATTCAAGTAAGGAAGGTGTATTTCTATGCATTACTTTGCATTACTTACAATAACCCTTTATGCAAGATAAAATTACAATTTGACACTTTTGTTTTACCATTGGGCACATTAGCACCTTTTTGGAGATTTCATTGTTACATTATGTCAAGCTGCCATGTGCCAGACTAATTATCACGAAATGCATAGTCACTATTACTGACTTCAAATACAATTTTAAGTAAAAACTTAAAATACAATTTTATGTAAATTCAGTTTGGTTGTATTTTTCAAAGGTAAAACACAGAGATGAATATTTTGGGTCGCCTTTAAAGAAGACAGATAATCAAGCAAAAATCACAACATTTGTGCAAGTATCCTCTTTATCTTCAAAAAAGTATACTCCAAACAACCCTAAGCAGTTAAAAGCCATAAACACTTTAATTTCTTATATAGCTGCCGACCTTATACCACTCTCAACGGTTGAATGTGATCATTTCAAGCAATTTGCAGAGGCACTGGACCTCATATATTAAAACATTTAATAATATAATTATGTATACAAATGTACATGATTAGTTTGATTTTTTGTGAATATTAGCTACAAAACATCTTAGCTTGGCAAAAAAGAAATTGTCTTATGCTTAAAAGTAATGGTAATGATACTGCATTACTTGGTCCAAGTGATGGTAATGTACTCCATTAAATACTTGCCCAAAATCAAATAATAGCACTGGTACTCATGGGTACTGATACTGCACCAAACCCCAACGTAATGGTAATTGAATGCATTCCTTTTGCAAAATAATGTTCCTAAGTCTGCCGCCGTATAAGCACATCTGCGGATTATTCTAAATTCAAAATTTCACCAATTTTCGTCCGCAAGGGAATATAGACGGTAGCTTACGCTTTTAAGTACCATCCGTGAATTAACCGAGCGTGCAAAATTTTCATTTTCTTTCGGCATTATTCTGGGATTCTTTATTTATCTCTATTTCGTAGATTTCATATTTACTTCCCAAATTTGAATGTCACATAAACGTTGTTTATACTATAGTAATCAAGGAACCTTCAATGTGACACTTTAATGTGAAGCTTTATATCGAACGACATGAAGGAGTTTCATTCAAATAGCCAAGTTCGATTCTGTTTTAGTCGAAGCTAGGATGCTTGGGCGAAAACTTGCACCTACATGTACTCCCTTTTACCGTCCATAAACAGGCAAAGTCAACTTAGCATGTAACAATTTACAACTACACGATGTTTGTCGTGCTTACCGGTTCTATTTTATCTATTAGTTAACAGTCAATAATACTTTTAATTAATCAATAATATCTAAGCTGATGAATAGATAACAAGACAAAGTCAATAAATCAATGCTATATTTCTTTGATGGTCAGACAGATAAATTACAAGGTTTTAACTACGGCTTCTTTAGTTAAAAACTAGAAATGTGTCCATAGGACACGGGTGCCCCCACCGCACCACTGTTCTGTCAATCTTATGACTCTAGGTCAAATATTTTTTGAAAACTAAAAATCTTTTACTAAGTAAAGGGCAAGAACTTTACAAATACTGAATAAATCCACAAGCAAACCCCAAGGTGCATAAGTACACATGCTGACCAACATTCTTGTAAACTTTCAGGCTTACAAGTGAAATACTTTTTGAGCTATGCATGAACAAGTTGAAAATTGCAAATTTGTACTACTGTAAGTCAAGGGCAATAGCTCTAACAAAACTAAAAAAATCCACATGCAAAGTCCCAGGTGATGGAAATCATTATACCTGTAATTTAGTGATGTTGATCATTATTCCTGTAAAGTTGGTTGGTTGATTCTAACTCAAGCACACAAGGAACAAATAACAACATAATAACATTACAAAGTCAAGGGAAATAACTATACAAATACTGGATAAATCCACAAGCGAAACCCCAGGTGCAAAACAAAATATGCTGAAAAATCTTCCTGTAAGGTTTAACGACTCTATGTCAAACACAAGTTGAAAATTGCAAAAAAAAAATTAAGTCAAAGGCAATAACTCTAAAAATACTAAAAGTTTCCAGACGAAAATACCCAGATGCACAATGACACATGCTGATCAACATTCCTGTAAAGTTTTATGACTCTAGGTCAAATACTTTTTTGAGTTACATGCGACACAAGTTAAAAATTGCAAAATTTTACTAAGTCAAGGGCAACAACTCTAAAAATACTAAAAATATCCAGACGAAAATACCCAGGTGCACAACTACATATGCTGATCAACATTCCTGTAAAGTTTAATGACTCTAGGTCAAATACTTTTTGAGTTACGTGCGACACAAAAGAGAACGGACGGACGGACGGACCGAAGGACGGACGGACAAGGGTAAATCTAAATGCCCGCCAGCAAAGTGGGGGCACAATAACCAAAGAGCAGAATGCAAACATTATGTAGCAGATAAACATGATTATCTATAGTACAAATGAAGAAACAGTGCATATATTCCACTAACTGTTCTTACATGTGCACTTTTTTGTTTGGTGTTTTATTTTTGTTTTGATTATTATAGTACTTCATCAAATATTGTAGATGCATAATAATTGTCTTTTTTATATTTATATTTTGTACAATCCAATTTTGTAACATGAAGATATTCTATCTTTAAACATACTTTAATATCACATTTCAATGTAATTGCCAATTTATCTATTCACACTGACCATTATAAATTATAAATGAAGAAAGTGTCAATAAGCAATTATATATATTACACACAAAACAAATCCCATTAAAATATGTACAGTGTAGTAATGATGCCACTTCGTTTGACAAGTTACCTCCTTAATCGACTATATCTAAAACATAACTGAACACTTGGAATCCAACATCTCTCCGTAAAAACATTTTTTTTTCATGGACTGATTTAAAAAAAAATCAATTTAAAGATTTATTTACATGTTCAATTTAAAGGAACTAATTTATTTGCACTAACAGTAATATGTAACTTATGACATTTACTTAAACTTGCAAAAGAAATCTTTAAATAGACATGCAATGATTTACAATTTCAACTTTGAAATCTGAAAATAAAAAGATCAGTGCCTAGGAATTGAATGTAGAAAATCAAGTTGTCCTTCAATACACGTCATGGAGTTTATATTGTATGCACGAACTGTAAACTCTGCCTCTCCAGCTACAAGCTCTTGTACAAGAAACGAAATAGGGGGCCAACCAGAAGGTGGCGGTGGAATCATTAATATACCTACACGTTCGCAGTCGTACTTTTCTCCTGTGTATTTTGGATCTTTCTCATCGGACCTATAGACATCAGCAAAAATAGGTAATAATTTCATTAGAATTTCAGGGATGATCGATTTGCTCAAAGTATGAAGACATGGTGTACCGAAACGATCTCCAACTTTGAGTATATCACCTTTTGTTATCATCTTATCAAAAACGCTACTGCAATATTCCATTCCATTTTCAACAAATTTTAATTCCTCCGGGTCTTCCCCTTGCTTAAATGGCCTTCCAAGTGAAAATCCGTAAGTATATCTGGCGATTCTCTCTGTAATACGTTTTGGATTGTGCCCTGCAATAACAGCTCCTTTCAGTACAGCAAGGGATGGTTCTAATGGAATGATAACTCTTACACCCGGAACTTTCTGCCTGATTATTTGTTGGACATAAGTAGAATCGGAAAAACCGCCTACCAAAAGCAAATGGTTGATTTCCCCCAATTCATCGTTTTCTCTCATTTTATTGATAAACTGAACGATCCCTTCAATCGCTTTTGAGAAACATTTTTCCATGATAGTTTTTCCAAAGTACAATTTATCTCTTTTCAATATGAGGGATTCAAAACCATCTACCTTAGAAGCTTTCTGAATCATTGTTTCGGCGTTTTGTCCTTCAGTCTCCTTTATTACTTCATTTAATTCACTTATAGGAAGCTTTATTTTCATAACATCAGAGTGTTTGAATTTAAATGTCCTTTTCTTTGTTTCAAAGACTTCTCGAATCTCCATCAAACGATTTTGATATCTTTTTGAAAATAAGTGAATAACATTTGATCCAAATATATCTTCAAAGAACTTAAAAAATTCTAAATCGACCATCATACCACCTAAAGCGTCTCCATCGGCCCTATGGATTTCTCTAAGATTCCTGTCAGATAAAATTTCATGTACAGAAAGATCAGCTGTCCCACCTACACAAATACAAAAAAGTCATGTATCAACTTTCTGTCAAAATTATATCATTTCACAGAATGCATTGGAATAATTTCAAACAAACATTCTCACCAACTTACAGAATGGAAATTCGAACATTACAGTAAATTAATGCTTATTTAGTCTGGAAATGTTCAAAGATTATACTGATTATTACCTCCTAAATCAGCAACTATGTATTTCATGCCTTCTGGAAACTTGTCGAAGTCATTTGATCCATCAAGTTTTGCTATTCTGCATAAATTCTCGTCGTAGCAATAAAGAGATGCAGCCTCTGGTTCCAAAATAAGTTTTACATTATTTAGCCCGGCCTAAAATTAATACGAAACTAGGCACTCAACCATTTGATTACAAATAACGTACATTCTGATGTTATTCTTAATATCATACCAGCTTTACAAGCGAAACAATTTGTTTGTGTGTTTAATTGGGTTTAACGTAACACCGAAACTGTAAAAGTCATATGGTGGCGTTCCAGCTTTAATGGTGAAAGAAGACCCAAGGTGCCCTTCCGAGCATAAAGAGCACCCGAGTAGAACCACCGACGTTCAGTAAGCTAGTTGGACAGCTTCCTCATATGAAAGGATCCAAAGTCCCTGTCGGTATTCGAACCCGCTGCTGTGAAGGGAAGTGGTTTGAAGTCATCGACCTTAACCACACGGCAATGGACGCCCCAACACATTTTGTGCATACTATTATATAATAAGATGTAAAATAATCAAGTTCTCTTTCTTTACCGAAATTTCTTTTAAAGGCTAGACCAAAGAACTGATTGTGATGTCAAAGTGATAAGTGTTCATGGTTGTCTATTGTTCTTTTAGTTATGGGTGGTTGAACTGGATTTTGCAAGTTCAATGATGTGTGATTGATTTTGTATGGTAGTTATTTCTAGCTGATCTGGTCCTTGGAAAGCTTTAACATTTCTTAGTAACTTACCACTCCTTGATTTGCTTTCGAAGCGATAACATATTTCATTATATTCAAAGTTAACTGTCTGTCATTTCTTTATAGAAATACTTTTTATATTTATCAAGTCGTCTTCTTTAACAAAGCATGGTTTTATTCTTTATAGAATGAATATATTGTAGAACCTATTTTAGTGTTATTAAAGTCTAAATCCCGCCGATACTTGACGTACATAGTGATGTTATTTTTAATCTTATACCAATACAAGCAATTCATTGTGTACATAATAGTTCAAATCAAAGAAGTTTAAATATTGTTTTCAAAAATTAAAAAAAAAAATGTACATTTTGTATATGTTTTTGCCTTAACAACAACGTTTTCAGTAGTTTTACCTCATTCGCGGCTTTTCTCATGAACTGTTTCGCAGAATCGGACCATATCGCAGGGACAGTTAAAACCCATTGGACATCATTATCTTCGTCGAATCCGGCACGGGAATTTCTCATTTCTTCATAAAATTTCTCTTTTATATGGTTTATGACAGCTGTGAAAACTTGAAGAGCTGCGAGTTCTTTGCCATGTACGTCGGAAAGTTTTGTATCCAATTTTAATTTCTGAAAATGAAATGTTTTATTAAAACAGATTCTGATTGATTGATAATTTTTTTCAGCATTGTACAAATTTGAAATGACAGAATTTAAGCGAACCTGAATTATTACTTAAATAAGGTGTTTTCGTTCTCAGAGAAAACGCGTTGGCCATAACGGAACACCGTAATACAATTTATATGCGATAGTACGATGGTGACAGTACGGCAGTACGATGGTGACAGTGCGACATTACGATAATGGCAGTGCGACAGTACGATGGTGACAGTACGACAGTGTGATGGTGACAGTACGACAGTACGATGGTGACAATACGACAGTATGATGGTACGATGGTGACAGTACGACAGTACGCTGGCAGTACGACAGTACGATGTTGACATTACGACAGTACGATGTCGACAATACGACAATAAGATGATGCCAATGCGACATTACGATGTTGACAGTATGGCAATACGATGACAATACGACAGTAAAATGTTGACAATACTACAGTACAAAGGTGACAGTACGACAGTACAATGATGGGGACAGTACGATGTTGACAGCACGACATTACGATGGGGACAGTACGGCAGTACGATGGGGACAGTACGGCAGTGACAATATGGTTATAGGATGGTGACAATTCAACAGTCCGATGGACTGTCAATATCGTGCTGTTGGCTTTGCCATCATCTGTCGTATTGTCGCCATCGTTTTGTCATGTTTTTTTTGTTCTCAGAGAAAACGTACTTTCATTTGTATTAAAATTTGTACTTTTTTGTTTACTGGCTACAATGAAATTTTCAGGCAATATATATATATATATATATATATATATATATATATATATATATATATATATATATATATATATATATTTGCATTTTAGACTTAACTGTTTTTAAATATATTCAGGTAATTATGGGGATCGTTATTATTTAATGATATAATATTTATAATATTAATATATATATTCATTAAATAATAACGGCTCTCAGGTAATTAGGGGATCGTTATTATTTAATGATATAATATAATAAGTAAAATCTCTAACTTGCCGTATATAAGCAAAAACGCTTATTTAAATTTGCCGTAGCTTTCGGCCTTGCGGACTTCTTCAGCAGCATTTATTCTACATACAATATACATATTTGTATGTAGAATAAATGCTGCTGAAGAAGGCCGCAAGGCCGAAAGCTACGGCAAATTTAAATTAGCGTTTTTGCTTATATATATATATATATATATATATATATATATATATATATATATATATATATATATATATATATATAATAACGATCCCCTAATTACCTGAATATATTTAAAAACACTTAAGTCTAAAAATTCAAATATTTATATTTATCAAAGCTTTATTATTTTGGTGTCTTATTACAATTTTCAAAACGGTAATCTTTGTTAATTTTTATGAGTCATCATTTGCATTTTTTTGCATTTTAGCAAATAGTTCAGTAGAAATGTTATATTTTTTTTTCAATAGTTAATTTGCTTAAGTTTATGACATTCAACGCTATGTTAATCTTTTGGTGTAAAGATTTTAAAAGATTTATCAAGAGGATTTGTTTTTCAGCAATATGTTGGCAATTTATCATCTTTTTAATTTAAATGTAGTTTAAAGTTCTAAAACCTTTGTCTGATAAAGGCTCATCTTAAATCGTTCAAAAAAGAAATATTCTTCTCTTCTCTCAACATTCTCTTCCAGCATATCTTTATACTTTTCCTCTGCTTCAAATCCAAAGGCAATGAACTTTTGGTCGGGTGAAAGAAGTACACATGTTGGTGCTTTGTCCGTAACTGTTCGTACATTTTCACCAGTCCATTTACTTGTTAAAATTTGTTTCGGATTCTTTTTAAATGAGTAAGCAAATCCTGTGTACGTTGTTCCAAAATCGATGGCAGCCACAACTAGATTGTTTCGTTCTACGTCTATTTTAGAGCATGCCATGATACTTCTGTAAATAATGAAATATATATGAAATGAAAATATGAAATATATAGTATGCTTCTGTCGTTCGTTGAGTCAACTGAGCTAAAATCATGATTGTTTTACACTACTATTTATGCATGACTACGGACCGACATTTATTGCATAAAATGATATCAACATTCATAATAAATTTAAAAGACAATTATTTAATTGAAGAGTCTGCCTCTAGCAGATCTTATTTAGAGCGAGCGATAATGGGATTGCTGATATCACAAGAAAATAAACCAAATGGCTATTACTATTAAAGCACAAGTATAAGGACATAACGTTTTAACTCCTAACAAATGTAATGAAAACAACAACAGCAACAACAACTACTACAACAAACTTTATTCAAAGTACCCTTTAAATAATAAAAAAAAAGATCCTTACACATAACCATAACATTCACGTAAGTTTTTTTTTTACTTCTTTTTGATGTAATGAAATAACTTAAATATTTTGAATGGAAACTGAAAGACTAGAGTTGAGAACAAAAATGTTAAAGACAATATTAATTGTCTACAACATTGACATAATACGCATTATAACATATTTTAAGGAAGCTAAATGATCGTGCGATACTACATTTTAGCTGTGAATACGATAACTTTTCGTTACACTAAACATTTAAGCTGTTGTGTTTGTATTAAAGTCATACAGATCATTTAAAAGCATATTTTCCTTGCTTAAATCTCACGTTAAGTTATGGTGAAACACCAGAAAAATAACAAAGAAAAAACTAAACTTGTTACAAAAGGAAATAAAACCCATCTTTTTAACAAGACAGACACGTGGCTATGTTTTGTTTTTCTAAAAGCAAATACCTTTTGAACTATTTAAAACTGTATACACGTTAGACTTCGTGCTATTTCTCTTACATTCAATATATATACTTGATGTTATTTTCATCACTATAGATAAAGACAATAGTAGTACAATTAGCTAAAATATCCCCTAAATCCTTAGTTATAGCACATTACTATATTTGATATATAAGTCTCTGGCGATCCTTCGGCCAAAAAACCGGCACTCGGCGTACACTCATAATAAGTCGAGGTACGCCTCTGCCTAGGGATTAAAATATGCCTTGCCCAAAGTTGGGGTTGGGAAGACTGGCTTAGTGTTTCTTATATGCACTAAGTAGAAATTGTTTGCTTTTTGAAATACAGCCTTAAAATTTGACCCATGGTTTAAGATAAAAAATGAACACTGATATCAGTTGATATTTATTTTGACCTTGTGACATACCTTTTTGTTCATTTTAGATACAGCTATGAACTATGGACCATATGTACAGTTTTATCGCAGATAATAGTTGACAAAATATTTGATTAAGTGACCTTCATCCAATATGTTCATAAGAACCCCAAAATAAACTACTTCTTTTCTTACTTATTAATCTTGTATAATTCGAGGGCAAAGAATTTTTTCACAAATGCAATCTTGTTTTCTCTACAAAATACCAACATGCAAAAGCACAAAGGGACGACATAGTCAAACTTTTATAGAGGACCTCAAGGTGATTCTTCATGCACAATAACTAAGCTCCCGGCATTGGACTGTCAGAGAATATCTTTTAAACTGATTTACTGCACAAGTCTATGAATTAAGTGACCCAAATTCAGAACAATTTTTGACCGCCGCAGGGGTATGTCTTTTTGTAGAGGTCATCCATAACATGCCAAATATTGACAGCATAGTTTCACAAAAGAATAATTAAATGTATTTTCCTATAAATGTTTATATAAACTATGTAATCCCTGTGATGGAACGATTCTGACCCCATGAAAACGATTTGTATAACTTTTGTGAAAGATGATGTTATGATTGTTGCTATATGTTTTAAATCTAGAAATTGTTGTTTCTGAGAAGTAGTCTTAAGAGTTATTATATTTTCTATAAGTCTTTATAAAATAAGTGATCCCAAATAGTGCAGTCAATTTTGGTACTTAGGGCATGATTTATATAACATTTTAGAGATCTGCTTGATAATGCTACAAGCGAAAGACCGGCGATTGACCGCGAGCCAACGATGGACGACGGACACACTGCCATTACAAAAGCTTACATCTGAGCACTTTGTACAACAACAACAACAACAACAACAGCAGCAGCAGCAGCAGCAGCAGCAGCAGCAGCAACAACTGTTTCAGTAATGCTTTCAGTGATACGAAGAATCCGAGTATAGTTAAAGAAAGCATTAAATATTATACTAGCAATTCAATTTCAAAGAATACAGATTATAAGGTTAAGTTATTCCTCGTATTTTATAATAATAGCATATTTAAGCATCTTTAAGCATATCATAAATACTCGGTAGTAGTATGGTGGCCGTTAGAGTTTAGTATAAAGCCGCGATATATTTAACCGTCAGTTTATAAAATGTCGCGGCATTTTTTAAATCCACGATATTTTATGTCGATATTGTATAAAATGTCGCGGATTATAGAGAGTATCGACCTTTTAAAAGTCGAGTTTTACGAAGGAAACCGCGTCAGTTTCTGTCTACAAAGAAGACTAAGCCCGCAAACATAAACCTTCTTTAGGAAGCATTATACGGCCATTATAACCTGTGGTATTTTGTTTTGATGCATACCTCGTAAAAAGTTGAGTTTGAGCACTAAGCCCCGGCTGAAATTACTAGTACTCGCCGCGAAATCCTTGTTAAGGAACAAATAGTCGCAAACACTTTCCCCCCCGACATTTCATAAAATTTCCACAACACTTGCAAAAAAATGTCGCGGATTTCTTTCTGTCCATTGACTTCTATTGACAAACGAGGGATACAATATAGAGTCAAACAAACCATGGACGTTACCTGCCAATGAAGTCAAAATCCCTTTTCATATAACTGTTATAAACTATTGAGTTTTATACTTTCCTCGCGACATTTCGGCAAAATTTTGCGTGTTTGTAATTTTTGCCCCCGACATTTTATGATAGAACGATAAAATTTCTTGTGAGTTTTAAAATGATCGCTACCGGCCACTATATGGAACACTTGAGTAAAAAAAAACCCTGAGGACCTATATTTGTTTAAAATTAATACCTCCCAAGTAAAAACTGAATATAAAAAAGCACATTGGAAAAGATAATATAGGCTGCGTATCGTGATAATCTTTTGAAGAAGATATACCCTCTTTGAAGCATTTTTTTGTTCCTATTTTAGATAATGGTGGTCAAAAGTGCAGACCTTATAAATTTTGCATACCATATAATTTTTTTATAAAGCATATTGCATCATAATAATATAATTAAGACTATATTAAACTAATGCCATAAATTAAAATCAGTCAGGTTAGGAAAAGATCATTCATGTTAAACAGCTCTAATACGTCATACAGAATTCTTTCCCTAGGAATTAAGATTATGGTCGTTAAGTTGGTCTAGTATTTTTAGATATAAAACGGTATTTGATTTGGTTGACCATGACATATTATCACATATTAAGTTAACATTGTACAAATGCTCAAACGAATACTAGTTAAGATTTGTCTAATCAAATTAAAAGTGGAAAGATTTTATCAGATATGAACATAATGCTTCAAATAGTGAAATAAAAACAGGGGTCCTTTAGGGGTTTATACAAAGCCATTTTCCTTTTACCGGCTGCGTTAATGATATGCCATTTAATATAACTCATTCAAACATAGACACGTAAGCTGAAAATTTGACTAGACAGTACGAGGGTTGTTCGGAAAGTTTTGAGACAATATGATTTTCTCTGTTTCTAATTACAGCTGCGAATATTATTTAATACAAATTATAGCTTAATATGTTATTTATCCGAGTTATGTCTTTAAAACGTTGTAACGTTACTATACGGCATATAATCGTTTCCATAGCAACACCTGTCTACGCATCCTGGCGCACGGACTATTTTCTTGTTATAAGTTTTCTTACTGAATAAAAAGAGCCCCTAAAATTGCGCCAAACGTCACGAAAATTTTATGACGTCACTTCCAACTTAAGGACGTCATTTCCGCTAGTTGTTTAAGCCGTTACCGCAGATCATTATAGCAATACGCGCGCGACAAGACAACGACTATGGAAACACCGCCAAAAGAGGAACAGCGTGTTTTTATTAAGTTTTGCGTTAATCTTGGGAAAACGCCAACAGAAACTGCAGGGTGAGTAATTATGTTAACTTTATTTAACATGAAAATAATTAAAAATAGATATATAAATAATATAGATAATTAAATTGATTACTTACTTAATTATTAAAATAATTATTTGAAATTAATTCACCTGTATCTGTATTAAGTACGAGCTCCGATATTTCTGTTTAAGGTAATCAGACGGGAACTGATCAACGCTATCCGTAAGAAGCGGCCGGAAATGCTTGCGAATCTGGAGAACATCTACCTACATCAAGACAATGCGCCTGCGCATACAGCATCTGCCACTTCTCTGGAACTTGATGTTCTCGGGTTTAACCGCATCGCCCACCCACCCTACTCACCCGACCTGGCCCCAATGGACTTTTCCGTTTTTCCGGCCATCAAATCCGAACTACGAGGAATCCGGTTTCAGGACCTAGTTGAACTGCGCTCTAGAGTTATGAGCATTATTGCAACATTTAAATCTGACTGGTATAGAAATGTATTCGCCAAGTGGGTTACGAGGCATGAGAAATGTGTACGTTGTGAAGGAAGATACTTTGAAAAGGAGTAGCAGTTGACTTTTCTACGGTGACGTTAAACTCTGGAAATAACGGCAACGTCGGATAACGTCGTTGCGTGCGCCGGGTCACCGGTAGTGTCTGTGCCTAACGCTTTGTAGCTTTTGTATACATGAAGCTATTGTTATGAAATTTTACACTATAATAGATGAGGTATTAAAGTAATACATAGTAAACTCTTGTTTGATTTTATCTTTTCCAACGCTAAATATTGACCCAGTCTCAAAACTTTCCGAACAACCCTCGTATATAGACATTAGATAAAAACATGAAATGATCCAGAGAACGCTGGTGTTATCCGAAAAATCAGATACTGCTACAACAACAATAGCAACATACCCCCCTCAGAATTGTTTTCTTGTTTCGGGGCGGCAAAGCGGAAATGCAGAAAATGAAAACGCGACAAAAAGGAGGCTTAACCACAGTTCAAGTATCAAAGATTTTCCTTAATTCTGACGAATTTTCGCCTTTTCGCGTAAATGCAAAAACAAAAAGGGACTACGAAGTTAGTTTATTGAAAACTAAACAATGAATCTAATATTAATATTTACCTGTCTATAAAAGCATCCACAAAGCCTTGCTACACTAACAACGAACTGCGCATTATTTGACTGACTAAATATTTACCCGGAAGAAAAAATAACCTTATTGCGTGTCGTATCAGATTTTACCAATTCATACGCACGTTTAAAAGAGCTGATGTACGGGTTTACATAAAAGCTCTAGCAAAACCACACAAATACGCTTTTATGTTTATAAAGATACATGTATTTGTAATATTTATGGCAATAATTGTGTACACTTTGCAACTCTTTCGAGGTAGACGCATACATACAATAATGGGTACGACTAATTAAGGATACATACGAGTACAAGTTGAATATTTATACACCGGCAGTAGAATTTTTGTTAAAGTCAGTAACTGAAGTTACATAACTTTTGAAATATGTGTGCAGTATAAAAAGTAAGGAAGGGTCATATCTTATGCCGGAAAAAAGAATTCTAACTTCCTTTGATCTTGCATAGTTACGTATTGTGGCGATCATACATAAAAAAATTATGTACACGAGGTCACAAAAATTGCACAGTGTGTATATTATGAACAAAAGTTCGTAGAACACGAAATATCCCCCTTCATACATTCTGTAAGTGACCTTAGACCTTCTGATCTTAAAATCCATACGGGTCATCTGTGAATGATGACCAACTTCCCTACCAACTTTAATGATCAAACGACAAAACATACTGAAGCTGGCTGATGTTTTCTTTCATCGCAATTAAACATCATACACGTGGGAGTAACGCGTGGTTACTGTCAATTTAAGTTGGTGCGAAAATGTTATGATAACACGTGTTTCCACATTAATAATCATGCAAGATGATCTACATCGCTATACAATGTCAAAGTTGTTGAATTGTGATAATATATTTTGAAATACATTGTACTATATATTATGTTTTCTCTGAAAATCGGGACAAAATGATCTTTATGATACACTAATATTTATACAAAACATATTAATGTAACGTATTTATACTATACATTCTTCAAACTGCAATTTTAATATTAAAGTCTATTTGGTTTAAACATATTTATATAAGCTCGATTGCGAAACAAGTTCTTGCAACTTATATTAATCACTTTAAAGTCTATTTAAACGCTATATTTGATATTCAATAAGTCACTTTCGACAATGAGCGAAAGAAAGATAGATGTCTCAGCTAATATATAAACATTATGCAAATAAATGAAGATTAAATCATCTTAATGATTTACAAAAAATAACCTAAACAAATTTAGTTTTCATACTATACGTCTGCAAACTGCAAATTCAATTTAAACACTTCATTTAATATTTTAACTTTCATTTCCTCTCGCTCACAGTCGTCAGAATAAATCACTTTCGTATTGTTCTCTGTGAGCAAAGGATTTGTATACAGTATAGAAATTATGCAAATAATTTGATATTAAATCATCATAATCATTATTTGGGAAAACGTATCAATCATTTATGAAAAATACGTCTAAAAACTGCAAAATTATTTATTTATAAATTTCAATAAAAATACTATATTTAATATTTTATAAGTCACTTTCGTATTTTTTAGTGTGAACGAACTTGAATATAAAAATCATGCAAATAAATGGGGTATAAATCATCATAATGATTATTTCTGACTATTAATATCATAAATTTCTGATTATATACGTTTACAAACTTCAATATTAGCATAAATTCCAATTTAAAAGCTTTTATAGCTCACCTGAGCGAGCTCAGGATCGTTGAATGTCCGTCGTTCGTCGTCTGTCGTCCGTCGTCCGTCCACACTTGTTCTTTTACACTCTAGCGGTCACATTTTTGCCTCATTCATCATCAAACTTTGTCAGGATGCTTATCTAGGTAATAGCTCGGATGATTCGAACATGGGTCATCTCGGATGAAAAACTAGGTCACAGGAGCTAAAAATAGAAAAACCCTGTAAACATTCTAGTGGTCACATTTTTGCCTCAGTCATCATCAAACTTGGTCAGAATGCTTGTCTAGGTAAAAGCTCGGATGAGTTTGAACATGGGTCATCTCGAATGAAAAACTAGGTCACAGGAGTCAGGAGCTAAAAATGGACAAATCTTATTAACACTCATGTGGCTACTTTTTTGATCCAAAACTTAGAAATTGGTGTGAAAGTTTGTTTTGATGATTTCTAGGTCAAGTTCGAACATGGATCATCTCAGATGAAAAACTAGGTCACACCGCTAAAATATGGAAAAACCTTGTTAATACTCTAGTTGTCATATTTTTGACTCAATTATCATAAAACTTGGTCAAAATGCTTGCCTAGGTAATTGTTCGAATGAGTTTGAACATTGGTCATCTCGAATGAAAAACAAGGTCACAGGAGCTAAAAATAGAAAATCCTTGTTAACACTCTAGTGGTCACATGTTTGATTCAATTACCATCGAACTTGGTAAGGATGCTTGTCTAGGTAATAGCTCGGATGAGTTCAATCATGGGTCATCTCGAATGAAAAACTAGGTCACATAAGCTAAAACTAGAAAAACCTTGTTTACACTCTAGTGGTCACATTTTTGACTCAATTATCATCAAACTTAGTGAGGATGCTTGTCTAGGTAATTGCTCAGATGAGTTTGAACACGGGTCATCTCGGATGAAAAACTAGGTCACATGAGCTAAAAATAGAAAAAAACCTTGTTAAAACTAGTGGTCACATTTTTGACTCAATTGTCATCAAACTTGGTGAGGATGCTTGTCTAGGTAATTGCTCGGATGAGTAAGAACATGGGTCATCTAAGATGAAAAACTAAGTCACAGGAGTCAGGAGTTAAAAATGGAAAAATCTTATTAACACTCATGTGGCTATTTTTTTATCCCAAACTTTGAAATTGGTGTGAAAGTTTGTTTTGATGATTTCTAGGTCAAGTTCGAACAAGGATCATCTCGGATGAAAAACTAGGTCACACCGCTAAAATATGGAAAAACCTTGTTAACACTCTAGTGGTCACATTTTTGACTCAATTATCATAAAACTTGGTCAAGATGCTTGCCTAGGTAATTGTTTGGATGAGTTCGAACATGGGTTATCTCGGATGAAAAACTAGGTCACATGAGCTAAAGAAAGAAAAATATTGACAACACTCTAGTGGTTGTTTTTATGATTTCTAAGTCAAGTTCGAATATGGGCCACCTGGGATCAAAAACTAGGTCACACTGCGCAAATATGGATAATCCTTTTTTACACTCTAGTGGTCACATTTTTGACTCACCTGTCATGAAACTTGGTCAGAATGCTTGTCTAGGTAATGTTCGGGTGAGTTCGATGGTCAGAGGAGCGGTCTAGGGCATTCTTGGCCCTCTTGTTTGATATCTTATAAGTCGTATTTTTCAATGTGAGGGAAAGGATGATCCCAGAACTTGTGTATAGAAATTATGCAAATAAATGGCGATTAGATCAATATTATGATTATTTTTGATAATAAATATAATTAGTTTCTTATATTATTCGTCTTCAAACTGAAATTTTATCGTAAAATTCTATTTAAACGCTATCATTCATATTTTAAAGTCACTTTCCCTCACTTTTGTCATAAAAGTCACTTTCGTATTTTAGGCAAACTCCGATGCGTGTGTAAACCACGTGATGTAAATAACGCATTTTCATTGGATGTTGTTTTTCTTTAGCGAGAACTTTAGTCACGTGTCTAAATAAAAGCATTTCTTTCTCATTTTAAATTATTTCATCACGTTTTTTTCCGAATAATTATTATAACTTAATTATATGCTGATATTCGTTCATGTTTAAAAAAAATAAATGACAATTCTCGCGAGACTAATTTACGCGAGATTAGGCCCAAACAAAATGATCTTTTTTTCCAGTAACCTGACCGGCCCATGTATTTCCGCACCTTACCTAGAACATGTTATTGCATAAATGGAGTATCCTATAGTGTATATATCTGACATACAGTTAAATTTTAAACTAATTAAATAAAAATGTTTTTACGACCTACCTACCCTATTATTTTTCAGCATGTAACCAGAACCTCAAGATATTTTTGTTTTGGCCTTATGACGTCAAACACACAGGTCAATTTTCCCCATCGAATTTTTCCTTTCTATAGTATCGGTCTGCCTATATTGAAAAAGAACGAACAACACCTAATTGAATTCTGTTTAAGCTCAATAGAAAATAAGTAGTTAATGCGACCAAGAAAGTAGTGCAGCAGAACTATATGTATACTTTCAAACGTGGATGACTTGAAGAAAAAGCTGATGTTCAAAAAAACTTGAAATGATGATATTCAATGTTAGCTTACATCAATGGAACATAATCTTAAACGTGTACGAAAAAAAAACATCAGTATTATTACGCATTAGGCCAAAGAAAAGTTTGTGTCCATGTACCTATGTACAATAAATTGAATATAAATAAGGTGTAATTTTGTAGCAGAGATGCTGAAAAGTTCACATATAAGTCAACCGAAGGGAAATGAAAGTATTTATTGTATATATTTAGCAATTTATTGAATAGCATTTTATGCCACCGCTGATTTTTTTTACGTCAATAACTCAAGAGGAAACAATGGATACAATATGTGGCCTTAAAAAAGCGTACTATTTTCGCAAAAAATGGTTCGCAAACTTTCATAGAATCAAAGCGTTTGAAACAAAAATATTATTATATAAATAATAAAAAACAAGATTACAATACAAGTCTTTCAAAAGTATTCTGGAATTAACGGATGCAATTTGGTAAAACTTGGTTTTGACTAGTAGGGCACACCCGCCATTGTTCGGACCATCGACAGAATAACGTTCGTGTTTTTCAGATTTCTCCATCCAAGACATAGATTTGCTGATGAATAACATCGCAAAGGTTTGTGGAAATGCTTTTATTTCTTTGTTCAAAATCGTTTTGTGTTTGCAGATGTTAATTTGTTAGACAAACGAAATTAGGTCAAGGATTGTTTACATTATTGAATTTACAGGTAAACTCGGCCCTATACCAACTCGGGACAGGTCAACTCGGTCCTCTATTAAAACCATATATTAGGATATAGATTGTTTAGATTGTTTAGTTAATAACATATTGTTTGAAATTATCTTTAAGATAAATAATTATCTTAAGAAGAGATATCAAGACAATATATGTTAAATATTGATCAATAAATAGAGTTTTTAGATTGAATTTTTGTGACAATGAATTTTATTGTATTTAATACTGTTTGTTTTTTAATATGACAAATGCTTTTTTAACGATATTTTTTACAAAAAATCTGGAGTAGCATAAAATGCGTTTAAATTGTAAATTCTTTCTTTCTCTACAAATTCACATACAAATTGGTACTTTCATCAATAAAACTTTTCAATATCCTTGAGTAGATGTCTGTTAGTGTGAAAATGTTAAACCATGAAAGTTATGATGAAAACATATCAAAAGTAAGAAAAGTAATCATTATCAGTAATATGTAATTATGGGCCGAGTTGACCCGTGCTGAGTTGGAATAGGGCCGAGCTGTCTCGAGGGCCAAGTACGTTTAAGGGCCGATCTGACCCTGATTCGAATTTACAGTGTTGACTGTTGTGTAGGATTTGCTTTTTCATTTCTATTGTATATAGACTATCTATTAACATAGAAATAAGTTTATAATATATTATATTTAACTGTTGTGTACAATTGATATTCGATAACTGTATCAAAATTTATCATGGCCCTCTTGATTTTTATTTGGCGAGGTCCGAGGACAGGCAGCCTTTCGCACAGACTGCAATTTGCAGTTGGTATAGTAATTTTTAGTGTTTGATGATCAGAAGATTTTTTCCTTCTGAAAATCATGGACTTGAATAATTCAAATCTGTGTGAAAGCGCAAAGAGAAAGAGACTGAAAATTAATTTATTATTTCTATGGACAATATTGATGTAATAAATTTGTAATAAAACATGTGGGTCAATTTCCAGCAGTAATTGAATCATGACAAAGTATTTTTAATAATTTTATTTAACTTGTGGCTACTTGAAAATTTCATGCTGGATGTTTGCTTACCATTACATTTTGCATAAGAGCTCTATGATTGACATTAAAGTCCACGGGCCAATTCATTTCTGATATATCTATAATCTTTCCGATATCTTGTTATAATATAAATGACTGAACATCATTGTAGAATTATTAGGAAAAAATATATATATGTTCATTCTTTGTAAAAATGTTAGAAGACTTGCAAGTTACCGACTTTATCATTGCATTTATTTATTATTGAAAAAATGCTGAACAGCTAGTCTCAACAGTGTTTATAGGCTAGAATTTTCAGTTTGCATTAGGGCCAAAATTATTAAATATATTGTTAGTCATGACGGCTTTCCCATTGCTGTCATCAAACTTTAACCTTGTTCATAACTTTTTCAGATCTTGGTGTATTGTCTTCATACTTGGCCACAACAACCCTTCAAATAGACCAGACTAAACTAAATTAACTTGACCACCATATTAACATTCAAGGTAAATGTCTAAATTTTCTTGATTTTTGCTATTAGTGGCTATAACTTTGTTATTTTTGAATGGATTGTCTTCAAACTTGAACAACAATCTTTCAGGATAGGACCTGACTCACTCATAAATGTCCTTGAAGCTTTTGTGATCAGAAGTTGTACAGAATAATACAAACCCAGAGCAATTTCATTCACTTGGTTTTGCAACTTCTGAGAAAATGGATTTTAAAGATAGTTGTTTTCTTGAAATTTCAGGACAGTATAGTAGATAGTAAAGACATTTAATACATACTGTATATACACTATAATTACTATAGTATACTATAAAAATCTTTATGCTTGGACAATTTTGAACAAATTGTTTCTTAAACAGTGTAAGAAATTAGGATTTGAATCGACTAGGCTGGTCAGACTACTAGATTGGAATATTCACTTGTCCAAAAGACATTTCACTAGCACGATTCATTTGTTCAAAACAGTTGTTTATATTGCCTCTGAAAATACAGTAGCCTGGTCGGGCTTGTTACTGTGAAAAGTTGATAGCCCGAGGAGAAATTTAGTAGTCGGGCTCTCGGACTACTGCTAATTTCGAACACTGCTTAAATTATTGATTTGATATCAACTAACATAATTATTGGGATACTATATGTATATCTAATAATAATTATATTTTATGTTTCAGAAGTTCGGCCTACATGTCAGATTTATGAATGTGAACAGCAGGATATCGATTTTAAGGATGCTTTAGGGTCAATGACAATGAAATCACGAGAGATAAAGGCTAAAATGTGAGACTGTCAATCTGACTAACCTTGAAGTGAACAAATGGAAAAAATGTTTCTTTCAATAGCATGGGCTTTTAAGGAAGAGGTACATGATTATTTAGAAGTATTTGTATATGATATTTCTTAATTATTATATTCTAATAGCTTTTTTTTTCTTGACTTGTTTAAAGGCTGACACAGGACAGTTTATTTTAAGTCAGTGAGCTTCGGTCACTGGATAGACTATTGTCACAAAAAGCCAAATTTATAAAAAAGAATTACAGTGTATTTAAATATCTTATACAAGAAATTAGGAACAAAATTAATAGCAAGAACAATTGTGACATGTAACATGTATTTAGGAATTCAGCTTTCTTTTCCTTTTTACCTCAGGACAATTCACATTAAAATATTGAATATTCACAGTAAGCAGTGTTAGCACTCCGACATATCTGACATATATGATCATCTTATCATCACTTAGCTGTCTATAGCTTATCAGAATCACTCACATTTATGAATTTAAATAATTTTGAAAAAATTGCTGCTTAGCAAATAGATAAAATACTTGGGGTGTCTGTGACTGATTGGTTTAGTTTCTTGACTTTAAACCTTTAAGCCTTTCACTGCTGTAAGTTCGAGCTCGGCAAGGGTTTACAAGTGGACTTTTAACTTTGCAATTAACTTTTTCTAAACAAATATTTCAGGAAACAGAGGCGCTTATATGATAGAACAGTAAAAGCAGGAGTGAAAAGGAAAGATACATGTAGATGTGTCTTCATGTCGGAAACACTAAAGAAATAGAAATATTGTGGTTTTATAAAACTTAAAAGAAATTGGAATACCAGGAGACTGCCTGCCCTTTGCAATGTTGGATAATGAGTTCTTAGATGTGATGTCGAAAGCCTCATGAATATAGTACCATGACTTAATCTAATTAGAAAAAGAAATGACATTGAGGAGAAAACTAGTCACCAGTCTTTCACCAAGAACTAGAGATAACTTTCCAATATTTGAAATATCATAATATGTATAGAACTTTATTGAGCCACCAGTTTTTCACCAGGAAAATAAGATCACTTAACTATTTTTAGCTCACCTGTCACAAAGTGACAGGGTGAGCTTTTTTGATCGCTTTTCGTCTGGCGTCCGTCCGTAAACTTTTACTTTAAATGACATCTCCTCATAAACCACTAAGCCAATTTCATCCAAACTTCACAGGAATGTTTCTTTGGTGGTCACCTCTAAATATTGTTCATAGAACGCTGGTTGCCATGGCAACCAAAAGAAAAAAACTTAAAGTATCTTCTTTTAAAGAACCCAAAGAGCTAGAGCTTAGACAAAGTATCTTCTTTTAAAGGTATGAAACATCTTCTAGTGAGTGTCTACCAAGTTTGTTCAAATAAAAGCCCTGGGGGTCAAAATTGGCCCCGCCCCAGGGGGTCATTGAATTTCCCTATATGCATATAGTAAAAACTTAAAAATCTTCTTTTAAAGAACCAAAATAGCTAGAGTTTAGATATTAAGCATGAAACATCTTCTGGTAAGTGTCTACAAAGTTTGTTCAAATAAAAGCCCTGGGGTCAAAATTGGCCCCTCCCCGGGGGTCATTGATTTTCCTTATATGTGTATAGCAAAAACTTAAAAACCTTCTTTGAAAAAACCCAAATAGCTAGAGTTTAGATATTAAGCATGAAACATCTTCTGGTAAGTGTGTACAAGGTTTGTTCAAATAAAAGCCCTGGGGTCAAAACTGGCCCCGCCCCAGGGGTTTCATTGTTTTTAACTATTTGTGTATAGTAAAAACTTAAAAAATCTTCTTTTAAAAAACCCAATGAGCTAGAGCCTAGATGTTTAGCATGAAACATCTTATGGTGTCGACCAAGTTTGTTCAAATTTAAGCCCTTGTATAAAAATTGGCCATGCCGGGTGGGGGGTGGTGCAGAGGTCTTTGTTTTACATTATATGTGTGTAGTAAAAACTTAACATCATGAAACATCTTCTAACGGGTGTCTTACAAGTTTGGTCAAATAAAAGCCCTGGGGTTTAAACTGGCCCCGCTCCAGGGGCCTATATACACATGGCCCTCTTGTTGAAATATGTATGAACAAATCTTTATCAACTTCAAGCTTTTATCGAAGGAATTTGAAATAACTTGGCACAAATGATTGTTATAATAAGACAATGAGTCATGTCAACAACCAGACCCCTACCTCCAGGGTCAAGGTCGCACTTGCTCATTCAAGGTCAACTTGTCTATTTGAAAGTATATCTCGTGTCCGGTCTATAACTTTCCTATCTCTAAAGGGATTTTGTAAATACTTGCCACAATTGCTCACAATAATGAGAAGATGTGTCATGCTCAACAACAGGTCACCTGCCTCCAAGGTCAAGGTCACACTTGGAGGTCAAATATTAGCATAGCCTGTTACAGGGTATATTTCGTGTCCGGTCCATAACTTTGTCATTTATTGAAGGATTTTGAAATAACTAGGCACAAATGTTTGTTATAATAAGACGATGATGTGCAACAACCAGACCCCTACCATCAGGGTCAAGGTCACACTTGCTCATTCAAGGTCAACATTGTCCATTTGAGGATATATCTCGTGTCCAGTCTATACCTTTCTTATCTTTGAAGGGATTTTGTAAATACTTGCCACAATTGTTCACAACAATGAGATGATGTGTCATGCGCAACAATCGGTCACCAACCTACAAGGTCAAGGTCACACTTGGAGGTCTAAGATTAACATAGCCTGTTATAGGGTTTTTTTTTGTCCGGTCCATAACTTTTTTGTATATCAAAGGATTTTGAAAACACTTGGCACAAATATTCACTATAATAAGACAATGTGTCATGCGCAACACCTGCATCCCTACCTCCAAGGTCAGGGTCACATTTCAAGGTAAAAAATTAACATAGTCTTTTAAAGGGTATATATTGTGTCCAATGTAGAACTTCTTCATAGTTCAAGGGATTTTGAAATAACTTGGCACAAATAGTCACAATAATAAGACGATATGTCAATTACAACACCTGCACCCCTGCCTCCAAGGTCAAGGTCACAATTAGAGGTATAAAGGTAACAAAGTCTGTTATATTGTATATTTTATGCCCCGTCCATAACTTCTTCATAGATGAAGGGATTTGGAAAATACTTGGCACAAATAGTCACAATGATAAGATGATATGTCATGCACAACACCTGCACCCCTACCTCCAAGGTCAAGGTCACACTTAGAGGTCAAAGCAGGGATTTTTTCCAGGATTTTGGGAACATAACCCATACCCATGCAACTGGGAATTTCAGCGATATTTTGTTAAAATTGGGAAAAAATGCATGACTGAAAGTTTGCAGTGATTAAATGTATGCAAGCAATCACTGCCTAGGATGGCTTCTTCAAACATTTAAACACTATTGCAGTAAAGAAGCCCTTATTTTCAAAGATTTTAGAATTCTTTATTCAATATTTATATTTTTGTAACTTTCAATTGGGAATATTTTCCTTTGGATTGGGAAAATAATATACTATTTTCAATTGGGAATATGTCCCAATAACGGCTATAAAATAAGCCAAAAAATCCCTGCAAAGCTTAACATGATATATTTTGAAATTCAGTATTTCATTTTATTTCTTTAATAAATTTATTGTTGCATTTGCAGATCTAGCATTGATCATAATTTTGGACTGAAAATCCTTAGATCCCTGCCTCAATCTTTTGAAATATCACAATTTTTTGCTTCATATAAAACTTCCCTGAGGCGGGGGACGTTGGTATCTCCGTTACAAATTCTTGTTTATTTTACCAACAAGTGTTCACTTTCAAACTTTTGATCATTGTATTTTTTGTACTACCTTTTGTATAATGTTGTATTTTATTTATGTTCTTATTCTAAGATTAGCATGGCCAACTCATGAAAGTCCAAATGATGGTCAACTTTTTTTATGTTTTTTTTGTTGTTGTTTTTTTTTAACATTATTTACTTTATTTTTACAGTGTTCCTCTGAATCATACATTCTGTTTTAGTTAAACATGCACTTCTTGTTACTTATTTTCCCATACTTCATATTACATTGATCACGGTTTGATGTGATGGCTCATAAAATTATAACAATATCATTTCTTTGTACTTTACCTAGTAAAATATGAAAACAGAAATGCTCTTGTAAGCTAACCAATAAGATTTGTACACCTTTTAAGGATTCAATTTATAATTGGTATATTCAACAATATATCAAAACACAGGTCAAGTATGATTTCAGTTACATTCCACAAAATTTATACAACATTATGCCTTCCTTACCAAATCATATGCAAAAAATTGATTTATAACTGATAATATTTGAATGCTTTTGAAATCTATAAAGATTTTTCATATAACTCTGGACAAAATTTAACAGTCTTTAGTGAGTTGGAGTGTAGTATGAAAAATCAGGTGTCTGTTGCAAAGATCAAGGTCACTACTTTGGATCAAAAGTCAAATAATAACTTAAAACATGAGAGTATATTTCTATATACATGGCTAGATTTTCATAACATTTATCACAAATGTTCACTTATGTATACATCTTTCTCCCCAATCTGAAGCTTTAAGGTTCAGTTCTGAATAATGGCAACAGGCTTGATATATGATGCCAGTGGGCTTGTCTAATTATGTACATATTTTGATTACCCACTCAATATAAGCATTGTTCTTAACGCAGGCATTCAAGTCTTATGGGCACATTTCTACTTTTGACTATATTTTGTTGTATAATGTCAGTCTTGTATGTAAAAAATCCTTAAAACAGCACCTCCTATATTACTGGCCGTTTGCATTAAAGCTTCTTTCATTCAGATTGTTATAACTTGTGTCACCTCAATATGTACCAATAATTTAAAGGGACTCACTCCATTGAGGTTTAAAAGCCTAAAACGTAACATTTGAATTTCTACAGAAATGAGCCGGGGCACTTGATACAGAAATATATGCACAGATAGTGAAGAAATATACTTTGAAATAAATTGAAAATCAATTTTTTTATGCTTTTCTCAGCCTGATCTGCGTGATATGTGTTTAAACGCTTTCATTTTGGGTCATTTTTTTACAATTTGAATAATTATTCTTGAAAAACGAAGTGCGCAAATGATCTGAAATTTTTCTCAAAGATTAGTGGTCAAAACATACATCGAGTGGTACATTAATCTAGAAAAATAAATTTCAGTCTCATCATGTCAAAAAACCTCAGTGGAGTTCCTTTTACACATTTTATCTGACAAACTAAATTTCATTATCTCCATATATTTAATCATTTATTTTTTATATTACATATATTTTTACTTTTATGCAAGTTTTGACAATAAAAGTTTATTTTAAATCATTGTTCTTTGTTTTGCTATGACTTTAACAGCATGTACATCAATTTCATACTAAAACACAATTAGTTATGTTTGAACTTACAAATGTAAGCACATGATGAGCTTTTCTTGTCCTTGAGTTTAAAATAAAAAGTCTCTTCATTAACTATGATTAAATAATGCTTATGGCATGGTCTTGAATTCCTATGAAGTAGTTATATAAGTCATGGCCGATTTAGGTCAAACTGAGTGGTTCTTTGTGTTCATAATGCAGTAGTATTATCTATCAATTCACTTATTACTATATTAGTAACAGAATTGCCTATGATTTCAACTGATTATGAGTGTCACAACTTATGGGTTTGGGGCCCTGGGCCAAGAACTAGTTATCAGCCCACTGAACATGAGTAGTGCAAAAACGGAAACAATGACGTCACATTTTACGTCATCAAATCAGCTAGCTGTAGATTGAAGCTTGCACATATTCCTTTGTTTTTAATTCACACGCATTGGGAATTTCTATGAAAATTTCCTTCCAACAGTACTTTCAGTGCTTTGATTATCTTATGCATTCCATATCACACGCCGTTCTCGAGGCCGGCGTGTAATAATTACTTACACAAACATTAATACTAGAAAAACGAGCGAGTTGAATGCACAAACAATTACTGAAAATATTTCCTAAATATGACAGTCGCTGTTTTTCTAATAAAGCTGGTTTTACTCTTTTACGCCAGCCATTGTAACAATAAGATTTTGGCCACGGAAAATGTTAATACTCGTGAAATGTTGTCAAACTACTAACCTACTACTATGTGACCCTTTCCCTTTCATAGACTGAAAAACATATTGCAAGTCATCGCTACAAGAGAAGAAATACTCGTGATACTGTTGTCCAATTTCTTGCTTTAAGCTTTACTAACCTACTTACCGCCACTTGGCACCATATGACCTTTTTTCTTTCATAGACTGAAAAACATCTTGCAAGTCATCGCTACAAGAGAGGAAATTGACAGGGGTCGTTCATTTTTCAGTAATAAAAAGGTATACCTAGGGGAGACTGTGTTGAGCCATTTAAAAATTGGATTAAACGTTTGCAACATTGTATTTCTGTAGAAATTCATTTTGAACGGTTGACACAGACATTTTGTAAAATATTTGTTCTTCTGTTGAATTTATTTACCACATTGCATTAAAAAGTTTCAGAGTCATGTCGCGGACAAAGTTCAAAGTGTAAAAATGAAAAAGAAAAATTACTCCGACCATAGGCAAAGCAGAGTTACTGTTCTTGTGCACTGCACTGCTACTCAATGAGATCTAACCACCTACTTAGTGTGTTGTTTATACCTCTTGTGGTTTCATAGTTATGTTCCGGAAAATTTCAAATATTAAAAATGAAAGGGATAATTTCTCTTAAATAAGGCAAAGAATAGCTACTGAACTTGCTAACTGAACGTTTACTCAATGAGATCTATCTACCTACTTATGTTCTTGTAGATATGTTTTGTGGTTTCAGAGACAATTCAAAGTGTAAAATTGAAAAAAGGACAATTACTCAAAAAAAGAAAAGACAAGGCAGAGTTACTGTACTTATGTATACACTGTACTTTTACTCAATGATATTTACATGTATCTAGCTACATATTTTCTTGTTGATACCTCTTGAAAAAGGGAAATTACTTCACAATTAGGCAAAGCAGGTCTTCTGTTCTTGTACACTGCTACTCAATAAGAGCTAACCACCTACTTAATTTCTTGATAATACTTCTTGTGTTTTCAGAGTTATGTCAAAGTTAAAGGTGTAAAAATAAAATGGACAATTACTTCACAATGATGAAATTGAAAAGTAATGTAACTTATTTTTTGATACGTCATGGTTATTTATTGATGCAATGTCCAATGGACAATGTAGAAATGTCATATAGTTTATGAAATGCAAATACGGCAATAATGCCAATATTTTGCTATAATCAACTTGGAAAAATGTGTTTTAACAAAAAGCTACGTAAGTAAGAATTTATTAACTACATGTATATGAACCGAAAATAAGTGTTTATAACAAATACGACGGATTATTAAAAAATTCGTGGTCTTTCTTAGTTGCGTAAAATATATTTGAGATATTGATTTGAAATTCTTACACTGCTTAGAAGAATAAATACCAAATAAACACAGAAAAATTCATGTTAGTAGCTTTTTATATTACAATATTAAACACATATCGGCGACAGCGGCGCACTCAAAAAAGTTATTGACGTCAACGTCATAATATCTAACGTACAACCTGTGCCTCAACGTTACGCAGTCAATAACCGTTACTGCTTCTCAAATTAATGTCCATCACTAAATTTGTTATGCCACATAAACACCAATGATAGTGATTTTTTTCTCTGTTCGCCTGCTGATTGTGTTCAAATGTTTTTCTAAGTGTCATTCCGAATTTACAACAAAATATTATGATCGCGCTATTTTCTAATTTCTGTGTGTCCATCATTTTCATGTTATAAACAATATCGTCTTCTGGCGTTTCTAGCGATTTCAACAAAAATTAACGGAAATGACGTCCATAATTTTAAAGAATAACTTAAAATGAAATCATTGAAGAAACATACGATGTTTATCGGATTTAGTTAGTAGTTTCTTTTAGCAAAAAGTACACTTACTGCGCTTTTCTACCATGCGCCGGGTGCCGTGTATGTGCTTATTTAAAAGAAATGTTAAATCATTACATGTAATATTAATTGTTGTTCCACATTTCTACGTTTTGACATTTAGGCATGTAATTGATGTTTGAAAATTTGTATTAAAAACTTTGTTATATAGTACATCCTTAGCAAGCTGAGTTAATAATGCACAAACAATTGACTATATTCATTTACATTTGATAGTATATATACGAATGCACTCAGCCATTGTATTATATTTGTGCACATAGTAGATAAAACTGTATTAAACAATTTTTTTTAAATTATATTGTTTGCTTGATTATTTTCTACGACAAATGTGTCTTTCATAAATATTTACCGGTGATATGTTAACTAAAGAAAATCAAATAAAACTTAAATAAGAGAAAAACTGGCGAATTATATATTTGATTTAAGACTCTTTTGAAATCGCTTTACAAAATGTATTGTGCTTAAAAACACAAATTGAATGCCAATGGTAAGTTATATCAAACTAGAAAAATGTCACAAGTGCCGAATACCCGACACGCGCTTGTTAGAAAACGTGCTTTTTATTTAATAATTTTTGCACATAAGGAGAATGGTGTAGTTTATAGTTTTTTTTCAAATGGTTTTTGAATTATTTGTCCTATATCAATGGGATGAATTAAAGTTTGAAATTGGAATTTTAATGACTTCTTTTAAGGGCATACGTTCTTTATCCATGAGATGTTTTGGACTTCTACTCAGTGAGATCTATCTACCTACAAAGTTTCCTGTTCATACAATTTATAGTTCTCTAATTATGTCATGGGCAAAGTTCAAAATGTAAAAATGAACAAAAGGGCAATTACTCCAAAATAAGGAAAGGGCCGGAGAGTTACATGGTTTATGCACTGCACTTCTATCCAGTGAGATCTATCTACCTACAAGCTGATACCTTATATAATTCTCAAGTTATGTCACGGACAAAGTTTAAAGTGTAAAAATGAACAAAGCGCAATAACTCAAAAATTTGATATAAGAGTGTTACCGTTCTTATATTCTGAGATTAAGAGATCTATATAACTACAAAATCTTAAATTGATACCTTTTATAGCTCTGATGTTAGTTACCGGACAAAGTTTTCAGTATAACAAGAAATGTCGAACGACACATATGCCCCTTTCTAGCCATTGGCTCATATTATTGCTAATTGTGTTATTATAATAGATAAATACCATAAATGGGTACGTAGAAGAAAAACAAAAATACCATTAATGACCTGAAACTGAATAAAAGCTATCATAAGTATAATAAGCGAAAACCATTTTGACATTTAACGGCCCTGTGACATTGACCTTGGACCTAGTGACCCCAAAATCAATAGGGGCCATCTAATAGTTATGCCAATCAGAATGTGCAACATGCAGAGTTTGTGATAAATAGTTTTAAGATTATCAGCGGAAACCACGTGGTCTAGCAACATATGTCTAATCAGTATGTGAAATATGAAGACTTTGTGATAAATAGATTTTAAGATAATCAGCAAAAATATGTGGTCTATCCACGGACAGTCAGACTGATATAAGGTCCTTGTGACCTTAAACTTTAACCTAAAGACCCCAAAATCGATAAGAGTCATCTACTAGTTATAACCAATTACTAATTAATTTTCAAGACTTAATGAAAGTTTTAATGATAATGAGCGGAAACAATTATGATATTAAAGGCTCCTGTGACCCTGACCTTTAAACTGGTGACCCAAATCAATAGAAGTCATCTTCTACGTACGATTTATCAATATGTGGAATATGAAGACTTTGTGGTAAATGGTTTTCAAGATAATAAGCGGAAACAATCCTGTCTTTTAAGGCCCCTGTGACCTTAACCTTTGACCTAGTGACCCTAACATTAATAGAGGTCATCTACTATCTATGACAAATTAGCATGTGAAATATGAATAATTTGTTAAAAATTGTTTTCAAGGTAGTGAGCGGAAACCATTCTGACATTATGGCCACTGTCACATTGACCTTTGAACTAGCGACCCAAAAATAAATAGCGTTCATCTACTACGTATGACTAATCAATATGTGAAACATAAAGACTTTGATATAAATAGTCTGCAAAATAATGAGCGGAAACCATCCTGACAGTTAAGGTCCCTGTGACCTTAACCTTTAAACTAGTGACCCCAAAATTAATAGAGGTTATCTACTATTTATGACCAATTAGCATGTGAAATATGAATAATTTGTTATAAATTGATTTCAAGGTAATGAGCGGAAACCATTCTGACATTATGGCCACTGTCACATTGATCTTTGAACTAGTGACCCAAAAATAAATAGCGTTCATCTACTACATATGACTAATCA